TGGGATGTGTTTTTTAAAAAAAATGCATCTGTTTTCTTTTTTTTTTTTCCTACAGTGACCTAACAGTTCTTGTTCATTCATTTAACCAATATTTGTCAGGCATTTGCTGTGTGCTTGACAACAATCTCTGCTCTCAGGGAAGTGTGGGAAGTAGTCACTAAGCACAATAACAGAAATATAGAGCAAATCAGCCACTGATAAGAGCTGCGGAGGAAAGTGAAACCTGGAGGAGGAGGCCATCAAGGAGGCTGGCTGCGATCATAAATGGGGTTGTCAGAGGAAACGTGAAGGAAGTACATATGGGAGTGAGCCGTGTCAGGAGAAAGCGTAGTCCGGGAGCGGGAACATCCCATGCAATGGCCATGGAGCGGGGCCTTACTTGCCTTATCCCAGAAGCAGATCTTGGAGTTGAAAAAATAGCCAGGAGGCCAGTGTGGCTGCAGCGGTACAAGCGGAGGCAGGCAGGTCACGTAGAGCCCTGTAGGCAGGAGTTTGGGTGTTTTCTCTAAGGCAGAATCCTCATTGCTAGGCAGAGGTGGGACCAGCTCTAATTTAGTTTTTAACAGAATCATGCTGGCTGTTGTGTGGAGAATCATGTGGGGCCAGGGCGGAAGCAGGAGGGAAACGTGTTAACCCATGAGGAAGCTGGTGTAGGAATCCAGGCCAAAAAGATAATACAGTAATAATAACAATAGCAACTACAACTGCTGCCTTTTATTGGCTGTGTATCTTGCCAGGCCCTGTTCTAAGCACTTTAAGACACATTATCCATCAAATCCTCTCACCATCCCGAGGGAGGCATTTTGATTATCTCCATTTTATAGATGAGGAAACTGAGGCTCAGAGAGGGGAAGTAATTTATGTGAGGTCACACAGCTGGTCATCTGGGAGCTGAGATTTGAGCCCAGGCATGACTGACTGTGGACTCAGACCTCTTAACCAGCATAAGCAAGGCCCTGGGGGTAAGTGGGTTTGAAGAGGCTGTAGGGCCAAGCTGAGCAGGAACCCTTCCCAGGCCTCTTCAGCACTTGTGGGGGTAAGGGGAGAAATGGGGTACAGGCCCCAGAGAACCTGAGAGAGGCTTCAAGACATTCCTGCTTCCCCGGGCCCCTTCTGTGATTGTGGGAGACCAGAAACCTAAGGCTTTGAATGAGACACCTAAGATGCTCCTATAACAGGTGGGCAAACAGACAGAGAAGCCAGCACAGCCCCAGGCAAAGGTATTTCTGTCCTTCACATTCCTGCATCAAAAGCTGAAAGTCCCAGGCTCAAGAGAGCAAAGGGAGTTAGGGTGAAGTTTCCGCCCAGAGCCACTGCATCCTCAGTGTGTGGCTGGGCCACCTCTTCCCCAACCAGGGAGAAAAGGTCCTGTCTGACCTTAACTTCAGAGCCTAAGCTACCTCCACCCGGCACTCTCTCCTGCTCTCTGCCTGATTCCTTCACAGCGTTATGTTGCAATAGCTCTGTTACTGGAGTATATCTGCCTGCCTGTTAAGTGATGGTCTCTCTCACTGGAGTATCACCTCCATGAGATTAGGGTCCTATCCTCTCTCAGTGTCCAGGTGGCCATCTGGTTTTCCAAAGCCTGGGCCACCAACAGAGCCTGCTTTAGCCATGCGGGTTGAGCTGGCTAGGGTGGCCCCAGGCAGGGCCAGGGTCTGACAAGATCTGAACAAGGGTCTGAGTCAGTGTTGTCCCAGGTCCCTAGCTGCTGGAGAACTTGGCCCAGAGTTCTTAGTGAGTCCTGCAGACCTCTTTCCCTGTGGGTCTGGGACTGGTCTCCCTAATATGATTAGGTGGTGGGGATGTTGTCTGGGCAGGAGTGGGGTGACTTTGAGTCAATAGAGCAGGGAGACTGAGAGGGTCAAAACCAAAAATGTTGAGGGAGAAATGGAGAAAAAAACGGAGACACAGAGAGACAGAAAGAACCAAAAGTTAGAAGCAGAAATGAGCAGAAAGACAGAGGGACAGAGGCAGGGCAAAAAGAGGAGCTGAGGTGAGGAGGAAATGGAGGCAGAGCAGCAGCTGGGTGTGCTGGAGGCCTTGCCTGGCTCAGCCACCCAGCTGTTCACAGCTCACATCCACGCGTATCAAAAGGCCTTTTCCACCTCTCCTTGTCTTGGAGTTCCCCCAGGCCTCATCCAACTCTATGTTCCCATCTCACAGATGTGGGGAAACTGAGGCCCAGAGAAGAGGTGTTGCTTGCCCACACATTTTCCATGCCCCCCACCTCCCCATCATCCAGGCCTGTGCTCACTGCTGTGTGTCCTCAGGCCAGTTGCTCACCCTCTCTGGGCTGAAGTTCCACCAAAGGTTCTGAGGATGCCCAGTCTTGTTGGGCTTGGCTCTCAGGGAGTAAACAAAGAGATAACGGGAGCCCAGGCAGGCCAGCTAGGACTGGAAGTTCCCTTCCTCCTCCTCCCTCCCAGGGCCTGGCAGGGCTTCAGGCCTCCCACAGAACTGACCTTGGCTGGGTTCCTCTGTGTTCAGTGCCCATCCCAACCCCCAGCCCTGGTGCCAGGCTGGTGAGGCTCCAGCCCCACCTGGCAGAAAAGGCCATTAAGAGGTCCCCAAAGTGTGGAGATTCAGCCGGGCAGAGGTCAGTGGGGACCCAGTGTTTTGGCCTGGGGAGGAGGGGTCTGGAGTCCACCCGGCTAGTTCCAGGTGTCTCAACTCCAACCCCACCCACTGGCCAGCAGAGAAGGAAGCCCTTCTTTCTTCTGCCTCGGACTCAGCAGTCTGAAACTAGGGGAAAGGCCCTGGGTCACCTTCTGTCCTCAGACAACTGCCCCTCCTCCACCCCGTGCCAGGTGCTTCCTGCCAGCTACCGGCCCTGGGTACCTGCAGCTTGCCCTCACAGGCCTGAGCCGCCCAGCTCTGCCAGCTTACCTGCTGCTCTCCTTCTCCAGCGGCTCTGCATGGGAGGGGCAGGAGACAGCTCGGTTTGTATTAGCCTGTCCCCGCCTCCGAAGTGGGGAAAGGCTGGTGGAGCGTGGGCGGGGTTTCTAGCATCACCAAGAGCCTACTGTGTGCTAGGAACCCGTCCAGCAGCCTAGCTGGGGGGAGAGTCCTGATTATCATAGGGACAGTGACAGTAAAGGGCTGACATTATCCAGTGTTTACAGCTATCCAGATTTCCTGAGGGTTGATCTCCAGAAGGCAAAAGACTCGCCCAGGCCACTGGCTATGGCCCCACCCAGTGGCTACTGTAATTCCTTTCCCACAGAGCAGAACTCCAAGGAACAGAAACTCTTGGTTCAAATATTGGCGCCCTCCTCTTAGCGCAGAAATCAGCCAGTGTGTGCTGAGCTGATTGTGCCAGGTGCAGCTTGACATGCAGCTAATCTTCACCACAGCCTTTTGGGGAGGTACTATAACTATCCCCATTTTATAGATGAGGAAACAGAGGTCCAGAGGAGTCGAGCCCTGGCACAGCTGGTCTCCTATCTGTTTAAATCTCTAAATAATTCCAGGAGGTAGGCAGGTGTTACTTTTATTTCCTACTTTACAGATGGGGACATTGAGGCTCAAAGTGGTTAAGCAACTTGCTCGGGGTGCAAGGTAAATGCAGGCTCTGGATTCGAACCCAGACTCAAACTGGCACCCACGTGATGAAAATCAACTGCACAGGGCCTGGCACTTAGTAAATGCTTGCTGCGTGCTGACTTCTATGAATAAGTCTGACCTGCTCTTTGCATTATTTTCCAAGACATGCATTTACTTACAAAGCAATCCCCTCTCCAGGCGAACACTTGAGATGAGAGGTGAGCAGACCCTGGACCACTCTCCCAGCTGTCAGGGGCTCAGGAAGTGTTGGTAGCAAACACTTTGGGTCACAGGGACACAAGAATTTGCTCCTAGGGAGTCTGAAACGCTTGTCCTCCACCAGGACTCCATCAGTGAGGTGGCTCCTGGTCCCAATCCCTCCCTCCCAGAGATGCTCCCCTCTGATTCCAACAGGAAGTTCTCCCTTAGGTGTGAGCCACATCCCTGCAGTTGTGGTCTCTCACTCTGGCCATCTCATAGGTGCTTCGTATGTTATTTTTATTTTTAATTTAAAAATGTATCTTTATCATTAACCTTCAAAGACTCCCCTATTGCTCACCAAATCAAGAAAAATGCCTCAGCCTCACATTTATGTCCTTTCTCAGCTGGGACCAATAAGCCTGACAACTGTATCACTTGTTTTTCTTGTGTGTAGTCTTTCGGCTTACACGCAAAACTGCTTACCATTCCGTAAGTATTTGTAGTACATCGGTGCCACCAAAATTTCCATCTGGTTCATTCCATTAGAATATCCTTTCTGCCTCATCTCTTTCTGGCACAATCCTATCCATATTTCAAAGCCAATCTCAAATGCCACCTCCTCCTAAGAAACTTTTCCTGATATCCTATCTAATATAACCAGTGTTGGGAGCTTAATAGATGCTTGTTGCATACATGAATGAATGAACCTCAACCAAAATGTTCTCCCCTTCTTGGTCATCTCCAGAAAATTGTATAGCCTGTGTTGTTGTTTAATTAATAGACTTTTTAAAAAAGCAGTTTTAGGTTTCCAGGAAAACATTCCGCCCATGTTCTTTTCACAGTGGGGCACACCATCCGCATTGGTCTGAAGCTTGCCTTTACCAGTTAATATCTCTGAGATCTTTCTATATTTCATACATTGAGACCTTAATTCACTGACCAAACTTCTATTAAGTATCAGCTGTATGTCAGGCACTGTGAGCGGTGCTTGGGATACAAAACTGAACAAAATTCACAAAACTTTTGTCCTTGGAGAGTTGACATTCTAGTGGAGCGAGATGGGCAATGAACATAATAAATAAGGAAATTATTTAGTGTGTTAGAAGATATGTTCTGTAGAAAAAAGAGAGAGCAGGGTGAGGGGGACATGGAGTGGGGGAGGGCCGAGTGGGGGCAGGTTTTAGAGTAAGGGGAGCTGGTAGAGCCATGCTGAGGGGGAAAGAGACCCAGACCTGGGAAGGGCTGGAACCTAGAGGTGTTCCGTTATTCAAATACACTGGGATGAAGTTAGCCAGCCCCCATTGCTGGGTGCATATAATTTGCCATCAAGAACGATGCAGCAACAAACACCCTGGCATTCTGTCTTTTTGCCCAAGTGCGGAATACTTGTATACTCAGCATGTAGCAGTGAACTAAAACATACTTGAAAGGGAACACCCAGTTGCCCTCCAAAGACGCTGCACCAGGACCATGAGTTTCCCAGAAAGCGTTTTCCCGGAGCTCTCAAACAGGTAGATTCTTCTGGCAGGTCATGAGGGAGCTCACATTCCACCAGGAGACTTTTCAGGGCCGAGATAAGCTAATCTGCAGCCACGTTCCCAAGGCGGGCACAGGCAGGTTCACGTGAAGGCAGTGAATGAGCTGATGGTTGAATGGATTAGGGGGCTGGAGGTGCCGCTGCAGTTACTCAGAGAAACCACCAGGAGGCGCAAGAAGCCTCAAACTCCGGAGATGAACCTTTTCAAGGGCATCTAGTGGTTTAGGACCTTCTCAAGAGGGTTGTGTGGGGACTAAGTGTAAGAAAAAAAATGGGGGATGGGAGGAAGGAGAGCAGGGAAAAGGAGATGCGGGAGAAGAAGGTTAGAGAGAGGATTTCCAGGGTGTCCCCAGAGCAGTTACAGACTAAGTTGTTTCTCATAAGGGCACGATGCAGCCCCCCGCCCCGCCCCTCATCCAAGTATATACCATCTCATATCCATGAATCAAATTCAAGAGCCCAGAACAGAGTGGAGAAAAAAGTCACGGGATAAATAGGTACAGTATGATTCCATTTGCGTAGAAAAATAATCCCCATAAATAAATGTTACATATTCTTTAGGTGTGTGTGTGTGTGTGTGTGTGTGTGTGTGTGTGTNGGGCCCTCTGGCATCCTAAGCCAGTTCTTAACCAACGCGCCACTTGGCCGGCCCTATATTTTCTGATTTTTGAAACATGTGACTATATTATCTATTCAAAAGAAATTAAAAAGCAGGGGTAGTAGCAAACAAACCAAACAAACCACTAAAGAAAAGAAATCTCAGGTCCAGACATTCTCTTAGCACTTGATTTCGTCCATTTCGGAGCTTAGTCTTGACCCTGGAGCCAACTGAAAACTGATGATATTGATACATTTTAGAGGTTCATAGTGGACTTTTTCATGGAAGTCTGATCTTAGTGTAAAAGCAGGGAATGTCTTTATTTAAAAAAAAAACACACCAAGAAAAAGTAAAACCAAAAAACAATCAGGTAGCTAATACACCCCTCTGCATACTCCTCCTTGCAGTCGGAAGAAATGCTTTCTGGGGTCCTAGGTGTCCACTTTTCAGCCTTGATGAGTTGGGTGGGGACTCACTTTCAGAGGCTTGGTGTAGCCCCTCGCCTCATCACCCCTCTCTGCCTACCAGGAGGTCACTTACTCTCCAAAAAGCAGGCCTTCCTGGGTCAGGAGGGGAGATGGAAAGGGGTGTGTGGGACACAATGTCCGTTCATACTGAGAACTGGGGAGCCGACATGCCTGAGATTCCATTAGCCACCTGTCTTCTAGAAGCTCCTCTGTGAGACTAGTGGGGAAAAGAATATGGGGCAGGTGTCATTTCTCAAGCCCTCTGGCCACTTTAGGCTGTGTTGACTGTCACTCCTGTTATTTCTGTTGGCCATCAAATCAGGAAGACGCCCAGAAAGGCTTGCTACACACTAAGTGTGTTTCCCTTTTATTCCTGTGCCAAGCCTATGAGGTAGGTGCTATTTATTATAATCCCACTTTATGGAAACAGAGACACAGAGAAATCAACTGACTTTCCCGAGGTCATACAGTTTGTAAGGCCAGCTCACCTTCCCAGCTCTTTTCCTTCTAACACCCTTGAGCCTGCCTCCAGCCGGGTGCTTCTAGTCAGTTATTTCTCAAGAGTGGAAGGAAGTTCTGAAAGGGTGGAATTATAGGCACTGTGACTCAGAGTTAGGTAGGGCGGTACTTTGCATTTTCAGGTCTTGTGGGAGGACTGTGGCATTCCCCACCTTACCGAGAGGAGTTTGTGTTGGTGGTTCAAGTCCTCAGGCTGTGCCTCCGAGACCCCCACCACTTGCCCTGTAATCTTGGGCCCTTGCCTTGCCTCTCTGGGTTCCAGTTTCCAGGTGCTTCCAGCTGGCCTAGGCAGAGCACTGCAGGCTGCAGAAGTCCGCGGATGAGAAGAGCCGCCAGACATTGACCAGCGGGAACATGAGCAGAGCTCCGAACAGCGAGCCTAGCTGCACCACCGCCCCACACCACAAGAGGGCGCTGCGGCTATGGTCACGCAGGGTCACGCCCAGCATCACCTTGACATAGCTCAGACAACCATTGAAAAGCACCCACGAGGCCACCTGCGGAGATAGGGTGAGAGATGAAGAGTGGAGGGGGCTTTGGAGCGACCCCCATGGGCGAAAGGTGGAGGGTGACTAGCAGGGCTAAGGGAACCCCATGAGTTTACCCCTCCCCAAGGGCAAAGGAGAGCCCAGTGGCTTTTCTGTTCCCCATGATCAAATCAAGGGCCTCTGGGAGAAGGCCACAGCTGATGTACAAATGGTGGGAAGAGTGTGGTTTTCAGGCTGGACTATCACCTTGGACCAGCCACCGCACTCTCCTAAGCCTCCACTCCCAAGTGAGAAGCATCCCCCGCCCCCTAACCTGGGCTTCAGGAGCCAGCAACCACAGACTTTGGTCAGTAGGAAGGGCTCTCCCCTGGCTCTCCCCAGGCCTTGGCTAGGTGAGGGGGCACCTGTAGGAGCAGATACTTACAATGAAGGCTTCTCCACTCCAGTGGCCCTGCATGAGGGGGCAGGGGCTCATCACGGCCATGGCCATATTGTAGGCCCCAAAGCCGGTCCCAATCCCTGTGAGGACCCCCAGGAATGGCAGATACCTAGGGAAGAGTTGGGGAGGTGAGGAGGCTGACCTCTGCCTCCCCTTCCCTGGGGGCCATGTAGAATGGTCAGCGTCTCCAGGGTTAGAGATTAGACCCATGGAAACTTCCGGGCCACCTGGCTCAAGTCAGTCAGTGAAGCTCCTGAGGGACAAGGCTGGTTTAAGTCACCCTGAGCATTAATGGCAGGGCCCAGCATTCCAGCAGGAGAAACAGAAGGACTGTAGTGCTACCCAGACCTGGTTCAAATCCTAGTTCCACCATTTAAGCTGTGAGACTAGTCTCTGAGCCTCAGTTTCCTCA